ACGAGGCTGGTCTAGCTGCTACTCCGTGACCAAGAACCATGAGTCAGCTTTTTAGAAATGGCCTCTGGAGGGGGTCTGCCCTTTTCCGCATGGCAACATCTCACTGGGCAATGCACAATACTTCATCTCCTTCCCACCTGCACTTGGATCTCTGGGCCCAACCATCACACATGCACCAAATATCCCCATCCGTGTGATCAGCTGAGTCACGATCCGTGTGATCAGCCGGGCCGACCTCCGGCTTTCCTGAATTGATACCTGTTTCGTGGCCAATAGCTGAGGTTCTGCTTTTCAAAGTACATCCCATTTTGCATGGCTGGGGCTTATAGGTTCATGTCTAGCGAGGACCTAGGTGATATAAAAAGCACCACCTGCTGGCAGATAGGGAGACATCTTTCTGGTCATGTGGTCATTTTCTGTCAAGAATTTGGACATGAAGGATCCTCCCTCCCTCCCCTCCCCCCCCCGCAAATGACAGGGGTGGTTTTGTTCTTACCTCCCCACCACTGCCACGGATGGGGATTTGGGGCAATAACAAAAGACTCTTGTCTACAAACCATCTTTATTCACCAGCTTTGGTTCCAGCCTTTGTACTACCCGGGCGAGACTAGACAAGCCGTGCACATTTCACTGACAAGCCGTGGGGTGGGGATGGGGCATGGCCGGATGGGCGCAGCGGGGAGCATAGAAGGGCGTTGCTGCACTGGGGTTTGTATATACGGAGGAATCAGGCTGAGCTAGTGGGTGGGCTATGGAACTTCTTGGGTCCAGGGACAGCCAAAGAGAATGTACCTGTGCTGACGCTGGAAGGAGCAGCCTATAAAACATCTTTAGCAAACTCCTGCAAGTTCAGGGCTTCCCAAGTACCCCTGTCCTACTGAACGGTCTTGGCCGGTGTTCCCTCGAAGCTGAGCACTTGGGTGGCTGCCCAGGAGAGATTCCAATGCTGCCCAGCTGATTAGCAGAGTGCCCACAGCTGGCAACAGGTGTTCCCACTGGTGGTGCACAGCCACATGCCTCGGTGCATATAACAAAATTTGTTCTGCACGGCCGATGGAAAAAATTAGAGGAACCATTGATCTAGGGACCTCGCTCCCCAGGGAGAGCACCCCTGCCTCAACGCTGGATGTTCCTCGACCTTCCCCTGATTTCTGCAGGGTGCAAACAGCACAGCACAAAACCCGGCTTGAGATCTGGCAGAGGAGTGAAGAGGGCAGGGCAAAGGGGAGCAATAGCTAGGACTTCGCAAACACCTCACACATGTTGGAATAAGAGGGAGGGAAGTCGAGAGGAAAGAACCCCCATCTGGGTCGCCCGGCAAAGGAACCTGGGACCCTGAGCAATTCAGAGCATGTCCCCAATGAGGGTTGGGGAGAGGCAGATGGAAAAAGGAGAAGAATAACGTTATAGGGGCTGTTGAGTGTTTATGGGGAAATATTGAGTCAATTTCAATCTCCCCTTCTGAACCCTCCCATAGCAAGCTGAGGCAAGAAGTTGATGAGACGGCTCACAGGCTGCCTTCACACGGGAGTGGCTCGCATGCTCCATCCCTGCGGATGATCCAGTTCTGGTGTCCTGAAGCCCAGGCAACGTTTTTCCTTCTCAAGCTTTTTCCCCCCACAGAAAGCTGATATTGAATCAAAGCTGAGGTTGCTGCGGGGGAGGTCAGGCAACATTTGGGGCTACTGGAGAGGGGGTTGTGTTAAACATTTGAAATTTCTTGGCTGCAATTTTCCCGTTTCCAAAACCGGAGAAATCTGGGGTATTCCCTCCCGCTAGCCTTTTTGAAGAAAAAGGGGCAATGAAAATGAAAACCTTTTAGTGTTCATCTGTTTCCGCCCCCCTCACATCCTCCCCGAAACCCAGCCTGTTTGCACATCAGCTCTGGTCACTCGGGTTGCCAGATTCTTTCACAAAGAATCCCGAACATAGTGGGAGAAAAAAGTGGTAGAGCAAAAAAAAGCAGGAGACCAAACTTGCTGAGCCAAAAAAAAAAAAAAGGTTGCTGCGCCTTTAAATCCCCACACTCCCCACTCCCGCCAGACACAGCAGGGGAAAAATGTCCCTGCTGACTTCCTGTCCGAGAAAAACCCAAAATACCTGACATTTGATATGTCCAATATTTTGGGGTTTTTTACCAGACTCTTAAATTACCGGACTATCCAAGGAAAAACCGGACACCTGGCAACCCTACTAGTCACCACCCAGAAGAGCTGGGGTCAGATGCCCGACCGGCTGACCCAGACGGATCACAAATGTGGGAGGGACCCAGACCCTGCAGAAGCTGAGGATGTGTTGGAGGTGCATGGTGCTTTGAGACCCTGTGAGCAACACAGAGGCCTCTGCACCTGCCTCGCTGGCCCTCCTTCAGGGAGGTTTGGGCGGAGGGGACATCACTGGCAGACCCTGGTGGCTGGTTTGCTGGTGGCTCTGATGCTGGAAATCTGCCCCCTCGGCCCAGAGGCAGGAGGAGCGGTGGGTTGTGGAGACCTGGTTGTTGAGGGAGCTTCTGGAACACCGAGGTCCCCTGGGATGGTGGAAGGAGAGCTGGCAGGCCCCTCCCGCGCCCGCCTGTCTTAGGTGGCATCCAGGGAGCAGCCAGCTTTAAAGCCAGCCAAGCAGGGGAGGCTGGGGGAACCCATGGGATGAGCAAGGTGGGGGCGGCCTGGTAATTCTGGGGCGAAATGCAGTCCCTCGCCTCCCCCGCCGGCAGCCAGACAGATGGTGCCCCTGGTCTGAGGCGGGCCCTCCAGCTCCAGCTCTGCTTTCACGCCCAGGCCGTTCTTGGCAGAGGCGGGCGCCTTTCCTTCCCCCTCGGGCTGGGAGAGGTCAGGCCTCTCCCCTGCCCCTGCGCTCCCGGGGCCCTGTGGGGTGCCCAGTGGGAGCCCGGGGACCGCGCTTCCCTGCAGCCTAGTGGGCGGGAAGCCAATGCCCATCAGGAGGGTTTCTGGTCTGGGGAGTGGGGCCCTCTCCTCCAGAGGCAGCGCTGCCCGGCTGCAGTGGAAGACGTGGCTGGGGAACCAGTCGGGGGGGCTGGGCTGGGGACATGGGGGAGGGGGACAGAGCTGGCGGCTGGCGTGGGGGCCAAGGCCGGGGGGCGGGAACGTTGACGGAAAGGCAGGCAGGCGGGGGAACTTGTCCTGCGCCCCCACGCAGCAGCAGGCGCCGAAGAGGCTGGGAGAGGAAAGCGAGCTGAACCCTACGGACAGGAACACAGACAGGGAGCAGAGTGAGAGCCTCCCAAAGCCAACACCAACCCCCCCACCGCACCTCCCCAGGCAGCCCCCACTTCCCCATTCGGAGTCACCCCGGGGTGCCCTGAGCAGTGGGCTGGGAGTCAGGACGTCTGGATGCCTTCCGGACTCTGCCACTGCCCTGCCAGGCAACCTTGGTCAAGTCACAGCGCAGGTCTGTGCCTCAGTTTCCCTTCCCATCCTTATTTATTCAGACTGCAAGTTCTTTGGGGGCAAGGACTGTCTCTGCCGCTCTGCAGTGCCTGGCACCATGGGACCTGGCTCGCAGCTGGGGGAGGGATTCTCTCACGATGTGTCTGTGCAGCACCCGGCACGACGGGGCCCCGCTCTGGCCACTAGGTGTTGCCATAGTCCTGAGCAAGCTGGCGTCTGTGCCTATTTGTCACAGCCCTTCGGCCCTTTCCTGGCAGCCGGGCTGGGGCAAAGCGGGTGTGCAGCCCCTGGCTGGAAGTGCTCCTGTGTCCTGTTCTCCGCCTGGGGCCTGAGCAAGGCATATCCAGGCTATTCTGTGTCCCCGCAAAGCCCTACGGGGTCATCAGCACAGCCAGACACTGCTCTGTCTGTCTGGGCTGCACCCCGAGGCACCCCGGCGGGCTCTGCAGCCCAGGCTGCTGGGAATTCACCTGTAGAAAACCAGGCAGCGCTCTGCGCCGGTGACACCTGCATGCTGGCTGGGGCTGCCCAGAGGTTTCCAGGGACAGGCCGATGGGGGAGTTGAACAGCAGGGAGGGAGGCTTTTGCCCTTCCTGAACCTCCCCCCACTCCCACAGCAAGACACCCTGCCCCCCGCCCCAGTTTTAGGGCCCCGCAGCCCTGGATCCAGATTTCAATCCCCCAGTGCAGGGGTGTTTGGATCCTGGGTTTGCATCCACTGGTCAGAGTTCGCCCTTGTGAGGCACCCAGGGCTGGATGGTCCAGGGCCTGGCACCCACATGCAGCTACTTGCCAGACACTGCCGCTGGGACAGGGGAGCAGCTGGACCCTTCCACTCAGGGGTGGAGGGGGAGCTGTCTGAGCCCCGCCGGGCCCTTGTTTACCTCTCGGTGTATGAGCCCCAGCTCCTCCCCTGATCTGGGACACTAACACGCGTGCATACTCTCGCACACGCCAGTGCGTGCACACACACCCACCTGTGTGCACACTCATGCACACACGTGCACATGGATTCCACCTGTCAGAGCTCCTGGAAAGCTCCTCTCTGCCCCGGCACTGCTCCCCCCTCTCTTTCAGAGACACTTACGGGGCCCACTGGCAGTCCCTTTCTTGTGCCCTGTGCTCGCCACATCCAGCGGGTCCCTGAGGCCTCTGGGGAAGGCCAGCTGGTCGGCCAAGGCCTGGCGGGTGAAGATCATGTCCTGCAGGAGCTGGAAGAGGAATGTGCTGTGCAGTGGGGTGTCAGGAGCCCCATCTTTAAGGTCCCATTAATGAGCCTGGGAGGCCTGGGGCAGTCTTGAGCTGATGCCTTTGCACCCCCACCCATGAGGCAGCCTGTGACCCATCCCACCCATTCTGCCCCCAACCTATGGGGCAGTCTGAGATCCCACCCCCATGCACAGGGTGGTGTGTGCCCCCATCCCATCCCTATGCATGGGGCAGTTTGTGACCCGCCACACCCATGGGGCAGCCTGTGATCCATTCCACCCATAGGGGAGTGCATGCCCCCATCCCTATATATGGGGCAGGCTGTGACCCTCTCCACCCCTGGACCAGTCCGTGCCCCAGCCCAGCCGCCAGCCCTGTGGTTACCTCGCTCTGCATGGCTGGCGGCCCCCAGCAGCAGCGGCGGGGGCGGGTAGCGCACGTCCCACAGTGGGTAATTGATGAAGATGAGTTTGCTGAAGTTAAATTTGTAGGTGAACCGCTTGCCCTTGGTTTTGTGCAGGATGCGCTTGTTGTAATAATACCTGGAGGGGAAGGGAAGACCCTGATGTGTGAGGGCAGCAGAGGGTGGACGTGTCGTAAAACAGACAAGCACCGTGACATGACGCGGAGAGCCAGGAACCTTTTACATTGGAAAAAAAATATTGAAATGTCCTTCTCTGCCCTGAGCAGAAAGCGCTGGGCTTTAAGGCACAGGCCTGCTTGCTAGGAGCGAGAGCAGAGATTTCCATCTCATCTGACTTGGGCCTGTCTGTCTGCTTTCCCTCTGGGCTGCTCTCCGCTAGGTGGAGGGGAAAAGAAAAAGAAAAAGAAAAAGAAAAAGAAAAAGAAAAAGAAAAAGAGAAGAGAAGAGGTCTTCTCCTAGAAAAATAAAAGAGATAAAGGCTCTTTCTCTCACTCGCTGTCATAAGAACATAAGAAAGCCCACAGTGGGTCAGACCAAATGTCCAGCTAGCCCAGTGTCCTGTCTTCCAACAGTGTCCAATACTAGATGCCCCAGAGGGAATGAACAGAGCCGGGAATCATCAAGTGATCCCTCCCCTGTTACCTATTCCCAGCCTTTGACAGAGGCAAGAGACACCATCCCTGCCCATCCTGGCTAACAGCCATGGATGGACCTAACCTCCCTGAATTTATCTAGTTCTGTATTGAACCCTGTTAAAGTCCTGCTCTTCACATCCTCTGGCAAGGAGTTCCACAGGTTGACTCTGTGTTGCATGAAGAAAATCTTCCTTTTGTTTGTTTTAAACCTGCTACCTACCAATTTCATTTGGTGACCCCCTCATTCTTATGTGATGGGAACAAGTAAACTTTTCCTTGCTCACTTTCTCCATGATTTTATAGACCTCTCTCCTATCCCCCTTAGTCTCCTCTTTTCTAAGCTGAAAAGTCCCCATCCGTCCTCTTATTCCCCTTCTTTCATCACCTCTGTTTCCCTGCTCCTGTGGTTCAGGCATGGATCTGAGTGCCCCTCCAAGTCCATCCAAGGTACAGACTGAGCTAAAGTCTCCCCTTCTGCTTTCAAAACTCTGTCTAGATTTCACAGCTTACCTCTTGTCTACGTGTAAGAGACTAGGACTTTTCAGCTTGGAAAAGAGGAGACTAAGTGGGAATATGATAGAGGTCTGTAAAATCATGAGTGGTGTGGAGAAAGTGAATAAGGAAAAGTGATTTACTTGTTCCCATAGTCTAAGAACTAGGGACCACCAAATGAAATGAATGGGCAGCAGGTTTAAAACAAATAAAAGGAAGTTCTTCTTCACACAGCGCACAGTCAACCTGTGGAACTCCTTGCCTCAGGAGGTTCTGAAGGCTAGGTCTAGAACAGGGTTTAAAAGAGAACTAGAAAAATTCATGGAGGTTGAGTCCATTAATGGCTATTAGCCGGGATGGGTAAGGAATGGTGTCCCCAGCCTCTGTTTGTCCAAGGGTGGAGATGGATGGCAGGAGAGAGATCACTTGATCATTCCCTGTTTGGTTCACTCCCTCTGGGGCACCTGGCATTGGCCACTGTTGGCAGACAGGATACTGGGCTGGATGGACCTTTAGTCTGACCCAATATGTTCAGGGTCTGGGGCTGAACCCCCATAAAACCAGGGGAATTCAGGTCCATGTCTGGGTCAGGTCCATGGCTCACCGGGGTCGTTTCATCCTGCATCCTCGTGGTAGGACTGCATTGATGACTCTATAATGAGGTTGCTAGGGCCGGACAGACCCTGTGGTTCCCTGTAGCCGGGGATTGCATTACCAAGGACCCCGAATCCAGGTGTGGGTCAAAGCGTGGCTAGCATGGGCTGCTCCCAATCTTCCCTTTGATCTATAAGCTGCCTTTCTGCCCTGGGTGGAGACTGATTTCCCACGCAGTCCCTTCCCCACACCTGAGGGCCCGGCTCAGCTTGTCGTAATTCATCTGCGGTTTGCATTTCCTCCGGCCCCACAGCCGCGCCACCTCGTCGGGGTCCTTGATCACAAACTCCCCGTACTCGCCCTGCTGCCAGGCGATGACGTGACGGAACTCCTCCTTCTGCAGCAGCTCCAGGATGAAGTGCCACAGCTGGATCTGACGGGAGCCGGGGCTCGATTCTGCCTTGTAGGCCCAGTCTGGGAAAGCCAGCCCTGCAGAGCAAGTGAGAGCATGGTCACGCCCCAGCTATGGGGCCGTCAGCGGCCCTCAACCTCCCCACAACTCCCAGGGAACTTCCCGTCTTCAACTCCTGGCTGTTAAACAGCTGCCACGTTCCTCCCAGAGGTGGCTGCATTTCAGTGCTGGGTGATCCCTGTGCAGCTTTGCTGGGAGGATGTTAAACAGCTTGCAGTGTTCCACCCCAGAGGTGGCTGCATTTCAGTGCTGGGTGATTCCCGTGCAGCTTTGCTGGAAGGATATTAAACAGCTTGCAGTGTTCCACCCCAGAGGTGGCTGCATTTCAGTGCTGGGTGATTCCCGTGCAGCTTTGCTGGAAGGATATTAAACAGCTTGCAGTGTTCCACCCCAGAGGTGGCTGCATTTCAGCGCAGGAGGAATGTATTGCCTGTAAAGTCTTCTGGGAGTAAAGATGCAGCATAAATGTACCAGATTGTGGTACCTCCCAGGGAATGCAAGTGCTTAGCACCTCTCAGGGCGGGGCCCACAGCTCCCTAACTGAGCTTTGCCCTGGGGCGTTACAGGGACTTGGAACAGCTCCACAGGAGGAAAGGAAGATGCGTTTTCCTCTCCCACCTTGGAATTTTCCCCGGTAATGTTTGTATTCTCACCTGAAAACCAGTAGGAGCTGGGGACCCCCTCAGACACGCAGCCACAGTGCATCTTACCGACCTGGGAAGGCGCAAAATCAAAGCCATCACTGCAGTGAAATGAAACATGGGCTCAGATGCTGCCAGGGCACTGCCACTGTCAATGCCTCCAGAGCACAGTATGGTCGGTTTAGCACAGGAGACAGTGCTCATCAGTGGTTAGAGCAAGGGGGCTGGGAGTCAGGACTCCTGAGTTCCATTCCCCAGCTCCAGGAGAGATATCCGGTGGTCAGAGCAGGGAAGGAGTGAAGACTCCTGGGGTCCAGTCCCATCTCTGCCACTGACTGGGTGTGTGGCCTCAGGCAAGTCATTTTGCAGCCTTCTGCCTCAGTTTCCCCCCTCTCCTGGGGGATTATTCCCTAGCTCGTCCATGCATCTGCCACCAGTGCTAAGAGGAAAATGGTCTCTCCACCCATTCATATGCTGACAGTTTGGCTCCCTCAGGGATCTCTCCCCGTATTTCTTGCAGGACTCGTCCTGCTGGGTGGCACACGCCATTTGCATAAGGCAAGGAAATAAACACAGAGTGCATGCGTTTAGGTTGCTGGGAGCCCTGGGCAAAAGGCTCTCAGGAGCGCCAAGAAACCTGCCACCACGCCTTGGGCTGGGGTGTTCTCTCCAGCTGCCCCTCCTAAACCCCAAGCCATGGCAGGCGAGCCCTGCCCCGTGACCCACGCAGGATGTGGGAAGAGTCATGCCAGGCCAAGAGGAAGCGAAAGGCCTCTTTCGTTTTACATCCCCGCCCTCAGAGGCATTCGGGATTCAAGCTTTCCCGTGCCGGTGCGTGCGTGCGTGTGTGCGTGCAACAGCATGTGTGTGTGCATATGTGCGCGTGTGTGTGTGCATGCAACAGCATGTCGGTGTGTATGTGTAAGTGACATCATGTGTGTGCGCGTGTGTGTGTGTAAGTGACAGCATGTGTGTGTGCATGTGTGTGTGTGCGCGACAGCATGTGTGTGCATGCGCGACTGTGTGTGTGTGTGTGCATGTGCAACAGCATGTGTGTGAGTGCGACAGCATGTGCATGTGCGTGTGTGACAGCATGTGTGCGTGCGTGTTTGTGCGACAGCATGTGTGCGTGTGCAACAGCATGTGTGTGTGTGTGTGACAGCATGTGTGTGTGTGTGTGCGCAACAGCATGCGTGTGTGCGTGCGCGACAGCATGTGTGTGTGCGCGACAGCATGTGTGCGTGTGCGACAGCATGCGTGTGTGTGCGTGACAGCATGCGTGTGTGCGTGTGACAGTGTGTGTGTGTGTGTGCGCGCAACAGCATGTGTGTGTGTGTGTGTGTGCGCAACAGCATGTGTGTGTGTGTGTGTGTGCGCGCGCATGACAGCATGTGTGTCGGGGGGGTGGGACAGCGTGAGAACGGCTCTGAATTATTAGAATGACCATTCCCACTGGTCCAAGGACCCCCCAGGCCAATGGGGGGCAACCCAGCCCATCAGGGTTCCGTGTGCGGCCCGCGAGACGTTTTGTTTACTGGTGCCCACGCACAGGGTTGCAGAGTCCCCTGCTTTCTGTCCACGTTGTTTTCTTCCTACCCGTGTTACTAAAGGGACACACGCAAGCCCCCAAGAGCAACAACAACAACACCACAATCCCAGCCCTGAGGCTCTTGCAGTCTGAGGAATAAAATGGGTCCAACCACCTCACATCTCTCTATATTTTCGCGTCTGTCTGCGAGTCCATTTGTCTAAGAACTCCTCCTAAACGGGCAGAACGAGAGTCGCTAAATTCGGGAGGCAGCTTCCTCTGATCAGAACTTACAGCAAGGTCGGAGTTTGGCTGCGCCAGAACAACTGGAAGCCCTGGGGAAAGGACTGGTTTCCATAATATGGAAACAGGGGCTGCTGTTCAGGGGGATGAGATAGGAGAGTGGCCACCGGGGGCAGCGAGCCTGCAGGGGAGAGCTACCCTGCAGAGGGTCCACTGGGGCGGCCGCACCACCAAGGGAGCAGCCAGCAGGGATGGGGCTATGCCAGTTTGCATGCCAGCACACTGGTAAGTAGCCCTCCTACCCCAAACCCTTCCCCCACCAGCAGCCCTTGGCCACAGCACTGGGAGCGGGCGGGGGGACGGACAAAAAAAGCACCTGGAGGACTGGGGGAGGCATGGGGGGGAGAATATAGGCCCCTGGCAGGCTGGGGGAGAGACCTGGCCTGGTGGGCTGGGGAGGCACTGGGAGGAGAGAACAGGGCCTGCTGGGTTGGCGGGCAAGTGGGGTCCCCCTCCTGAGCCTCTCCTCACCCCACAACCTCACTCTTGCACCCCCCCGGCCTCCCACATCCTGCACATACCCCCCCACATCCCCAAGGCCCTGCCCTGAAGGACCTGGGCAACGCCAGGCAAGCCTGCTCCTAAATAATATTGTCCAAATCAAGACGAAGAGCTAAGGCCCAGAGTACCATGAACAACCCACTGGGCCACCCATGACGACACGACGCGAATGGAGAACACCGTCCAGTACAACGTTCTGAGGCGCCGTGTTCACGCCAAGGCTCCTGCATTCGGTTCTGGCCCGGCCAAGGGGGTCTTAACGTGGTTCTAACGGGCATTTACTCTCCCGGGAAGGCCCCTTTCCACTGCCAGAGCAGCGGGCAAACGAGATTGAGGCCCCGTGGAAATGGGCGATGCTCCAGTCAGGATCAGCACCACAGAGTCTGATCCTTACAGGTCCCTTTACGCCAGGGCTGTGGTCCTCTTGCCGTGGCTCCATAAAGGAGCCAGAGTGGGAATAGGAAACAAGCCCACGGCACATTCGGCCTCTCGGAAGTATTTTCCAGACTTGAACGGGGTCACCCGGCAGGGTGGCGAGCACGGAGAGATGGCCGACGCTCGCTCCAAGCCTGCACTGCGACGTGAAAGCGCTGAGGGAATACATTTGTCGAAGACCAACCGGCAGGAGCCAGAGGACTAAAGGGAACAAGCACCGCAGGAGAGGGGCCAGGAAAGCAGGCGGGTCGTACAAAATGCGAGGAGAAACCCCAAAGAATTGGTCAGCTAGGCAGGGCCGGCCCACAACATTCTGGCACCTGAGGCGGGAAGCTCAAATGACGCCCCATACGCACCAGCAGCAGACACAATTTTCTACACTCTGGGCCCTCCCAATTTTCTACACTGGTGGTGCCCCCCCACCATCTGGCACCTGAGGCGGCTGCCTCAGTTTGCCTCACGGTAAGGCCAGCCCTGGCGCTGGGTGCAAAGGACTAGAGGCTGAGGGAAACGGGGAAAGAAAGAGAGAGAGAATTGAAGGGTGTGTGTGGGGAGAGAGAGAAATAGCGAGCCATCTAGACACAGTTCTGGAGAGCCGGCTGGCAGGCACGATCCCACAGTGAGTCTCAGTTAGACACACTCGACTGGACTTAGCTAGTTTTTCCTATCGCTGCTGTAACTCCGAGGGTTGTGTAACTTCACCACAGACCAATGCTACCGCCGCTGCAGAGAATGCATTCCCTCCCCGTGATTGCTACTTCTGTGGATTTCCCCGTATAAGGCAGCCGGAGAGGGAGCCGGCCAAAGCCTCGTGCACCCTCAAGACCTCGCCTAGACCCACCACACGCTATAGGGAGAGTCGTGCCTTTCAAGCCTTTGCATCACACATCTCCTTGGCCAACATCCAGAAATCACATCTATTGTCTCCAGTGCCAAAGGAGCTGTCCCTCTGCTCTCGTCTCCAGGAGACACCCTACACTTCATTGTCTACAAGTTCGTCAGCCGGTCTGAACGCCTTTTGTCTCCTCCAAAACACCGCTGCAAACCAGGAGTGGCGACACACTGATGTGTTACTTGGGACCCGACAGTTCTGAAGCAGAAGGGAACATTTTGTAACAAGTCCCGGGCTGAAAAATAAACGGAAGGACCTTCTTGAGAACTTCACCCCTCCTCCCCCAAGATCTGGGTCTCCAATTTGTGCCAATTTTTCAGTCACTCTGTTGTGATTTCAACTTTCCTCCCCACGTCCATTAAGGTTGTTACATAAGAAAAAAGCATCTTATTTTAACTGAGAAAATGGCTTTTTTGATTATGATTAAAAACCATTTTCAAGCCTCTGAACACCTTTCTTGATTTCAAACATCGTAGGGGTGACCCAAGCAAAAAAAAACCATTTGCCCTAAATTCCTGAGAGAAACTGTTGGCAAAGAAAAAGAAAGAAAAAGAAAAGAGGGCGAAGATTTGAAAGAGGCTCCTAGAGACCTTGGGAGCTCTTAGATCTGGTCTTTACCTACCTTGCTGCTGAGATGTGTATTTCTGGGGATTTATTTCAGCTAGACGCTGTTGCCTGCAATTAGAAATGAACAAGAGAGGGAGAGAGTCCGAGAGTTTTAAGAAGATTCTTCTTTATATAGAAAGGAGGGGGAAGGGTTAATTTTAAATCTTCTTACCCCCCTGCCAGGGAAGAGAGGGAGAGAGATCTCCTACTCCTGAGATTGGAAGGGTTTGGGATTTTCCTGCTGGTTTTCCGTTGGCCTACAGAAAAAATGCAATTAGTCCCTCAGCATTGTGCTTTTTAAATGGCTAAGAAAGAAACAGACAAGCAGCAAGACTGTATCATCCTAGCCAAACTCATCCGCAGGGAGATGCTGGTGAAGGGAGGATCAATCAGGGCTTGTAACCAGCCAAGAGTGACTCTGTTTTTTATTTTTGCAACATGAGAATTTAAGAATATTCATGGTTCAGTTGAGACAAAAGGCCACCCTCTCGGGGTTGTGAATCGGTCCAGCACCAGTTAAGTCAACAAAGGAACTTTGAGTTCCACCTGCTGAGGTTCTGGTCTGGTGCATTAGAGCAGGCGAGTTCTGAACAGAGGGTATGTCTACACTACAGAGTTTTGTTGGAAAAACAACCGTTTTTCCGACAAAACTTGAGGACAGTCCACACTGCAATCACGTTCTTCCGCAAGGAAATCAAAAGAACAGAGGGGTTTTTCCAGCATTGCTAATCCTCATTCTACGAGGAAGAAGCCTTTTTGCGAAAGAGCTTTTTTGCCAAAAGGCGTGTGTGGACGGGGA